GACAGCAACAGCAGCAGCAGCAACAGCAGCAGCAGCAGCAGCAGCAGGACTTGCAGCAGCAGCAGCAGCAGCAGCAGCACTTGCAGCAGCAGCAGCAGCAGTACTTACTTGAGTTCCCAGTCTTGCTGCTGCTGCTGCATATCTGCTGCTGGGTCTTCGGCTGGTCTTCTGTGCTGCAGCTGCATCGATTGGTGCTGCAGCTGCAGCTGCGACCGTGAAGCAGCAGCAGCAGCAGCAGCTGCTGCTGCTGCTGCTGCTGCTCTTTGCTGCGGGTCCGAATGCAGCACCACAGCCCCAGCAGCAACATGCAGCGGCTTGGGCCCTTCAGCTGCTCTGCTGTCTGCTGCTGCAGCATAAGGATCTGCTGCTGCTGCTGCTGCTGCTGCTGCTGCTGCTGCGCTGCTAGGGAAGCTAAGCTCCGCTCTATCAGCAGCAGCAGCAGCAGCAGCAGCAGCAGCAATTGGTGTGTTCTCGCGGCTCCCTGCATGCAGCCCATTGTGTTTATTGTCTTCATCGAGGTAAGAACCAAAGAGGAAGTCTGCTGCTGCTGCTGCTGCTGCTGCTGCTGCTTCGGGTCCCCTGTGTGGGTTTGTGAAGCCTGGTGGTAGATGCAGCTGCAGCTGCTGCTGCTGCTGCTGCTGCTGCTGCAGCTGCAACTGCTGCTGCTGCTGCTGCTGCTGCTGCTGCAGCTGCTGCTGGCGGCGCAGCTGCATCTCTTCTATTTCCTCAGCTGTAACAACAGGGCGGCTAGCGAGGGTAGCAGCATCACAGTATCCGCTGCTGCTGCTGCTGCTGCTGCTGCTGCTGCTGCTGCTGCTGCTGTTTCTGCTGCTGTATGCATTGTTTGCAAGGCCCGCTATTAGTGATGAGAGAAGAGGGTTTAGTGCAGCAGCAGTCTCTGTGCTGTTTGTTTCTTTTGCTGCTGCTGCTGCTGCTGCTGCTGCTGCTTCATCTGCTAGCTGCTGCTGTTGCTGCTGCTGATGCTGCAGTGCAGCAAGCATCAGGCTACGCAGATCCCCCGCTAAGAGAACTCTCTGCTCCTGCTGCTGCTGCTGGTGCTGCTGCTGCTGG